CAACAGACAACAAAACGTTTTGGTTATTAAAAAAAAGTTGCGCTCATTCAAAACAGCTGCGTTCGATCTTTCGCTGGCCGTACTGATTTAAATCTAGCGGTTCTGTTGTGTTTTTGTCGCAAGTTCAGTGACGCAGGTAGTGACGATTCTCTCCGGCCAATCTGTGATCAGCAGAGTTTACATGCTTTGTTGCTGGCCGCCACTGTGGGCTTGCTGCATCGAAGCACAGAATTTCTCACTGGGTTAGGGATGCTATTTCGCTGGCATACAAGGTGCGTGGTCTTTCTTCACCTCTCAGTATTCAGGCGCATTCTGCCAGGAGTGTGGCTTCCTCTCAAGCTCTTTTTAGAGGGGTCCCCCTAGAGGATGTGTATGTAGAGGCAGGATGACCCACTCCGCACGCTCTATAAAGTTCTATAATTTGGATGTTGACACGGCTCCTGGTTCCCAGGTCTTGTCCACTTGAACCAGCAGTGGATGCTATGTGGTTCTTCATCTGGCCAGATACGGCAGGGTTTTAGCTTGGCGTTCTCTGGTTACTTGCGTAACCCAGGTTCTCTGTGTAGGGAACGAGACGAAAATGAGTTACGCAAGTAACCAGAGACGTTTTAAAGGGGCGGGTCCTTTAAAGCTTCTCAGTAATTGGCCACTGCTATGATTGGCTAATGTTATTGCATGGGAAACAGTTTCAACGCCCCCGGCAATAATTGTAATTTCTATTTGCTTTTGACGCGATGCAACACTCACACATTCAGCGTAGCCAAGTGTCAGCCATTAAGCGACTGAACGCCTGTGGGCAGTGCCTATGGTGAGAATAAGTCTATTCGTCAATGTCTTGCTCTGGAAGCGGTGTTTATGCAGATGTTTGTGCCTGGGTGATTTCATCTTGCACCTCAGATCCAAATGAGCCATTTTTGGAGCTTGATTAAATAAATGCTTTGTTTATAATGAGGAGAACGTTTTAAGCTATGAAACGTGCAGGATGTTTTAATGGTACAAAGAACTCTTATATGGCAAAAGATCAAGGCAAATCTGATTTCTCATGTCATGATCGGATGCTGGGTCTGATTAATTAGCTTTGCAGTTACCTGCCACCCTGCGCTACAGTGTTAGTCATTGAATGAGCTACTGAGAGCCGATGCAGTGAGGAGATGGGACAAGAGTCAAGAGGAGGCGTTCACGAAAGTGAAAGAAATGTTAGTTGCGGCCACAGTGTTGGCATATTACAACGTGAACAAGCCAACAGTCATCTCGGCTGATGCCAGCAGTTATAGAATAGGGGGTGCATTGCTTCAAGAGCATGATGTGAAGATGCTTTCAGTGTCCTTCTGTTTCCGTACTCTCACAGCCGCTGAGAAACGCAACGCTCAAATTGAAAAAGAGCATTTAGCTTCAGTTTGGATGTGTGAAAAGCTGTCACAATATCTTTGTGGTTTGGAGTCCTTCAAAATACTCACAGATCATAAACCTTTAGGCCCTTTGATAAACCAGAAAAACCTTGACGAGGTCCCCTAATTAGTCTCCTAATTAGGATGATGCACTTCAACCTAGTGGCAGTGTGTTCTCCAGGAAAGCTGGAGTTCAGGAACAATGTACAGTGAGAAAAATGCAAGATTTACTAGTAAATACTTTTATAAAAAGTATTGCAACCGCATTTAAAAAGAAAAAAACATTGACACGAAAATTCTACTATTTTTCTATTAACCAATTAGTCTGCATTTACTTTGCTTGAACATCTATTTTGACAAATTATTTTTCTCCCATTCGAAAATGCATCACATTTATGAGGGATTTATGCCACTCTTGAAACTGCTTGTACAGGGTATATGGCTGAAAAAACTAACCTTTTGTTTGAATTCTGAGCAGATTATATTTAGCCTAGAAAGTGCGGCAATAGCACTTCCTTTATAATCACTAAAAAGGTGTCACTTCCTTCAGTTCATCACGATCTCACAAAGCTCCTTTATAATCAACGAACCTCTTATTTACATCATGTTACAACGAGACTAACAGTGAGTGTGCAGAAAAAAATCTGGCTAGTGAATTCTGACTCATTTGAACAGAATGGCCAATCAGAGGTGTTCAAGAATCAACAGATAAGTCTGTGATTGGCTACATTGCTCAGCGCTACAAAAACACATTGTAATCAGAAACCTTTGATGTTCTCCAGACTTTATTTCAAATGAACCTTCATGTTACCAGACAGTACAGGCCAACAGGTGCAGGGCATTGTGGGTATGTGGAGTCAGCGGGTGCAGGGGATTGTGGGTATGTTGAATCAGTAGGGTCTGAATTTCCTCTGTGCTCTCAGTACAGCGATTCTCTGTTTGTCCTCTTCAAACTTCTTCCTCAGCTCAGCGATATCTGAAACAGACGGATGATTCGCTTTGAGAGCCTCTCAGACACTCGGCACCATGCTCTGACTTTTTTCTCAGAATTACAACCGTTATGACATAAAAAGGTGCAATTTTGAAAAAAAAACAAAAAAAGTCAGCATTGCAAGAAGAAGAGTTTACATCTCGCAATTCTGAGTTTACATCTCGCACTTAAGTTTATGTCTTGCCATTCTGAGTTTACATCTCGCAGTTCTATTGTTTACATCTCGCATTTAGTTTATTTCTCGCAATTCTATTGTTTACATCTCACACTTAGTTTATTTCTCGCAATTCTATTGTTTACATCTCGCAATTCTATTGTTTACATCTCACAATTCTATTGTTTACATCTCACACTTAGTTTATTTCTTGCCATTCTGAGTTTACATCTCGCAATTCTATTGTTTACATCTCGCACTTAGTTTATTTCTTGCAATTCGGAGTTTACATCTCGCAATTCTGAGTTCGTATCTTGCAGTTCTTAGTTTGCAACTCGCAATTCTGAGTTCACTTCTCTCATTTCTATTGTTTACATCTCGCACTTAGTTTATTTCTTGCAATTCTGAGTTTAAATCTCGCAATTCTATTGTTTACATCTCACACTTAGTTTATTTCTTGCAATTCTGAGTTTAAATCTCGTAATTCTATTGTTTACATCTCGCACTTAGTTTATTTCTTGCAATTCTGAGTTTAAATCTCGTAATTCTATTGTTTACATCTTGCACTTAGTTTATTTCTTGCAATTCTGAGTTTAAATCTCGTAATTCTATTGTTTACATCTTGCACTTAGTTTATTTCTTGCAATTCTGAGTTTAAATCTCGCAATTCTATTGTTTACATTTCACACTTAGTTTATTTCTTGCAATTCGGAGTTTACATCTCGCAATTCTATTGTTTACATCTCGCACTTAGTTTA